TCAAACACAGAGCGCTTAGACACTGCACAGAGAGTATCTGCAACAAACTAGAACTTAGAAGAGTTTTATGTCAAAAATGTTCTGTATTTACATCTCAAATCTGTCCAGAGCCTTTGTTTAAAAAAAGTTATGAGCAGAGAAATGGATCGTCACTGAAGTTTTTCACAATAAAAGCCTTTTCCACAAAAAAGCCTATTTGAAAATCCCTTAACATCATTTATAAGCATTTATGTTGACAACCTTAAGAATTTTACACACACACACACACACACACACACACACACACACACACACACACACACACACACACACACACACACACTCTCTCACTCTCACCCAAAGCAGTGCCTCCGTGGGGTAAGTGTGCACAAACCCAGACATATCCCATTTAAGCATCAAATGTACTGGCTTCCTCTTGCTTAAGTCTGACCACATGTGTTTGTGGTAAAATTAGATTATGTGGAGATGATATAATGGGTGTAAGCTTTGAGAGGCTTGGACCACTCACAGCTAGTTTGAAAGATTAACAAGACGCTATGATTTAGTCATGACACATTTTAAATTAGTCAGTGGAGATGGGGCAGAACAGCGTAACTAAAAAGATGGCACAGAGCGAAGAGCTGTTCTGTAGAAGTCATGATTTCTCTAAGGATAATAGAGAAAGTCTCCAGAAGGCACAGCATGTTGTTGCATCTGTACAAATGTTTAGAGATTTTGTTTGGACTGGGCCTAGGATGGGGTCTGTGATGTATAGAGGCTTCTGAAAGAATAGTGGAAAACAATAATGGCCTTTTTTTTGTCCTAGATTTGTAGGTTTACAGACATCATTGTGGCCTTTTCTTTTTGGGCTTGATTACTTCCCCCATTGGAATAATAAATGTTTTGTTTTAGTTTTAACAATTTATCCAAACGATCTTATTCAAATGTCCTTAAAGGAGACAATGTATGAAAATTGACCATTGACCAGTTTTTAGATCCATCCTGTGCAATATCAAGAAATTCAGGCACAAATGTCCTATACTAGTGTGACGTCATTATACCACTTTATCACACGGCTCCTCACAGCAGGAGAACGCTCCATTGATTTGAATGTAATCTCAAAACGTTCTAGCTGTCATTATTTTCTATAACGGACCTCTCAAAACAATAATGACCGCTGCCCTTTGGCAACGCACTCTCTGCTGTCTTTCAAATGCGTGGATAACTCCGTAAGTAGTTCCGACCGCTCCGGAGCTAGCCACGCTCAATAAATGCAAATGCCAATCAATCAACGCAATTAAATGTTAATCGGAGAGTACATTATACATATACATTCTTAATACAAGTGCACGGAAGTTTTCCGAATTTTCCGTTTACGTTTTCATGACAAAAACACTGATGTAATGTGAGAAAAGGCGATCCCGAAAAACCCAAAAGTAGATACCGGCACATTTTAGGAACATTTGCAGAGGATCGAATGATGGATTTAGGTTAGGTTTATGTTTGGGTCACTCACCGCAGTTCCAGGGAGTTCTAGTTTGGAAGTTGATAGCCTAACTGTTGCTAGCATAGCCACGGGAAAGCCTTTGGGAACTATTTTATTTTCTTTCTTATTTTAAATAAACCTTTCGGCATTCCTAAAAGTGGACTGAAGTTCATGTTGTGTGTTCTGTTGGTACAAAGCCGTATAATAAGCGGGATAACGTATAGTACGCAGGTCATTATCGGAAAATAAGTACAGACAGGGCTCGATAATGACCTGCGTACTATACGTTATCCCTTACATAATATAATGCACAGAGAAATTTTCTTCCTTTTTTTCCTAATCTGGAAAAAAACAAAACAAAATCTATACCCCTTCTGGTTGTGGAGTACCAGTTTCACCATATATTTTCACTTCAGATGCTATTTCACAATCTAAAACATGAAATGACTTCGTAAAACCTATCACAATCCTTTTAGAATAGCCTACAATAATGCATAGTTTTTCTTCTTTAAAACTTGAAAATCTATTACACACAAAAGGCCACCAGTCTTCACTAAAAAGTTCAAAGCCATGAGCCTTGTGACCACCGTCCTGTCTCCGAGCAGCTCAGACAGACTGGTCTGTAAAGCTATCGGGACTCTTCTCAATTCCTCTGGTATATGGAAGCAGAGTTGAGGTGGTGAGAGGTGGTGGGCTTAAGGGCTGTCAGGTTGACCGGAGGACGAGAGGTCAGCCGTCAAAGCTACAAGGGCGAAGTCTCTAGAGCTGAAAAAACACTCAACTTGACACAAACGCCCTGTAATAAGTATATCAGGTATTAACCCAGCTGCACAGACTGGCCCTGCTCTTAGCTAATGAGACCCCTGGGTTATCACCGATTCACTCGTAATGATAGCTTCTTTACCGCGCTACAAGGTGAAAGCAATTTGACCCATTTCAAAGTTCACATTAGCAGAATAGCACCATTTTATCCCACAAAGAGTGTCCGTTGCTATTAAGATATTGATGTGAAGATGTTTGTGATTACCTGCGCGTCCTCTACATTGTCTTCTCTGACCTTAGCTTCACTTGAATTGTGCTCAACAAAAGGATTTATGCGCCATTTTAGTCTCCGCAAATAGCTTTTCTACCCATTACTCATGAACATGTGAGTTTGAATACACTACATCTCATTCTGGATTCTGACGTTCAAGGTAACAACAGAGAGAGGCGTCATGCGTGGAGAGCTTAGGGCCGCACTCACGCAGGAGTCTCATGTTCACATGTACAGTACAAGGCTGGGGCGCATCAGCATGCAGGGACATGTGGCACGTGTGTAGCCTGTAAAACACTTTGGGACATGTTCTGTGATCCATGACAGAGTGAAGGCTGGGGACAGAGGAGAGAGAGGGAGCAAAAAGAGCAGCAGACAAAAGGAGAGCCGGGGCAGGCGTGACATTGTGTCCACATGGCCAAGTCCAGCTTTATAAGGCTCTGTGATTGATGAAGCATCACACTCAATTAAATGTTACACGGTCAAAGTGTCTTTGTTTTCCTGGGATAGTCAATAGAGGAGCACCTGTACCACCACAAAAAACACAAGAATTGATTTTTATAAAGGTATCAATGACAGTTTACGTGATGGGAGTCCAGTTCATGTGCTGTCATCTCTTAACCTGATTGTAGAAATGGGAACAAGGTCAACAAGGTTTTTCTTTTGACAATCTTATTATTCTCACATCTCAAACGCTACTTTTTTAAAACTAGCCTATTCTTTGTAATATTTTATATAGTATTATATAAGTTTTATATAAGTAATCTTTATTTATATACCGCCTTTCACAGACTAGAGTCACAAAGCGGTTTACGATTGTTCTTTTTGGGCACTTGTCCTCTCACTCCACACAGAGATGAGAGCGGGGTCACCAGAACAGGAGGCGCATGACAGAACTATTGTAAATATTTTTAGTGGTAGGGGAAACCGGAGTACCCGGAGGAAACCTACGCCAACACGGGGAGAACATGCAAACTCCACTCAGACAGGCCCTGGTCCGACCGGGATTCGAACACAGGACCTTCTTGCCGAGAGGCGAGAGTGCTATCCACTCTGCCACCCTATATGTATTCTATTCTTTATTGTGTATTATTGTGTGTGGGTTTTTTAATCTTTTGTCAGGTGTCCTTGGGTGTCTTGAAAAACGTCACTGAATAAAATGAATGATTATTATTATTAATCTTGCTTTGTTTGTTTTTGAGGTTAGCGGCAAAAACTGCCTGAAAGAATGAAGAAACAAAGTGTGGCTCTCCTCTGGATCATTGTGGATTTGTCTCGAGCTGCAGCAGATAACACGAAACACCATTTTTGGTCTAGTCTGTTATTAAAAAAAAGATATTAACGGCTTATTAAACGAGCGCCAGGTCTGTACAGAGAAATATCAGACTGTGGCCTTTTTGTACAGTCTGTGCAAAAACACCAAGGTCTGACATTTCTCCGTACAGACCAAGCAAGCGAGGTTAATTTTTAATTTATGCAAATATCGATCTCCAACTTGGTTTTCCTAACCGTGTTTTTAGCTTTCTGGTCTGTAACGAAGTTGTCAATCACTTCTTGACTGTCAGGAGTTGTGTTTTCGTCATTATTTGCTGTTATTACTTCATTTGGCTCTTTGAAGTCGTCGCTCATTCTTTCTTTACCGCGGAAAGATATCAAATTTGATACGCGGACCAATTGTCATGCTAACGGTCCGAGATGGAAAAATATCAGACCGCAAATCAATCAATCAGAGCGCGCGTACGATCCAAGTCATATAATAAATATATATATCTGACATTTCTGAAGTATCTGACGGAATTGAAGCCCAACATGTCTTAATGAGTGAATAATTGACATTTGCAACTTGAGAGTGTCAATATTTTGTTTATTTTTCTGCATCTTCACCTAAGAAAGAGTTGAGTTTCTAACATTGCAGGATCATGCTTCGATGGCGGTTGGAGAAGATGAGCCGTTTTGTAAAGGTTACACAATTAAGAAGTACCATAGACTTTCTGTCACACTTCACTGTCGGACACACTACCTGTGGAAGTTTAAGTACATTAACATTCACAGACAAATGAGAGAATGTGAGGAAGCGGCATCTTTGAGTTCTTTAGCTGAACAACAAACCACTAATAAGAATCAAACAGCTTTTTGTCACGCCATTTGGGTTTTCTTTTTGTCTAAATTAGAGGCGCACAAGGCATATTAATGTCATCAATTTCATTTAATCAGGGCATCAGTTTAATACAAACTGTGATGATCCCCAAATGTCACTTTTCTCTGGGTAATTACCATTGATTTTCATGAATATTTGAAACATTACTGCAGCGTATTAATTAACAGCCTGGCATCTTTCCAGTTGCTCACAGACCTTTGAGACCGAGATCAAGTTAATCAATTACAACCGCACAAAAACGTGAAGTTTGAGGAACAAATGCCATATTCAAATGAGAAACAAATATGTATGTTTTTTTAGATTAGTAATGGAGTCACGATGTTGTTGCTCTTGTCTGAAAGAAATTACACAATTTTGCGTCTGAAGCTGAAATTTGTGAAGTGATCAGGCTCCAGGTCCAAGATCATTTCCAAAACCCTCTCTTCATTTTGTTTGCTGCTCTTCTCAACCTGTAATGAGCCAAAAGGGACAGAGCAATAGAGCCATTCAACAGAACTGAGAAGACATTGTTTCATAACGGGTCATTGGGGTCGTCTCAAATTCAACAGTATAAAGTTTAACACAAATATTATGGTCCAATCAGCAGTAAAGATTTCATGATGTCACGGTCTTGACAACATGGCTGAGTGGTTAGCACCCTTGCTTCTCCGCAAGAAGGTCCTGGGTTCGAATCCCGGTCGGAACAGGGCCTTTCTGAGTGGAGTTTGCATGTTCTCCCGTGTCTGCATAGGTTTCCTCCAGGTGCTCCGGTTTCCCCTACCACTAAAAACATGTATACTAGATCTGGATCCAATGAACAAAGATTACTTCAGTGGGGCACTTTATATGTATGATAAGATAAACTTTATTGATCTCACAATGGAGAAATGTACATGTCACATTTGGTACAGATAGGATCACTCAGGGTGTGCAAAAAGACAGGAAGTGTGCAAATATGTAAGATAAACTATGTACAATAAATGATAAAAGTGAAGATATAAAGAGAAAAAAATGCAGTTCATAGACTAATTTTAATCATAAAAAAGTCAGCCAACAACTCACACAATCGAAGCCGTGTCAGAAAGTTGAAGAATCTGAAAAATGCTGATAAAATTCTAATCTAATCACTTTGTAAAATATTGTGTGTTCTCACGGCATGTTGTGGTTGTCCTGCAGCAGAGGCCTGTGCGCTTGTTAGTGCAGTGTGTGTCTCTGTGTGTGTCTCTTTGTGTGTCTCTCTGTGTGTGTCTCTGTGTGTGACTGCGAGTGTCACTGGGGAGAGTTCACGTCAGACAGAGCCCCAAGCAGCTGTTGTCCCCAGTGCGTCCGCCACACATACACACACACACACACACACACATACATACACACACACACACACACCACCATTCCGCACACACACCTCCAGCCTGCTCTTGACTTTACTGCTACAGTGCGGTGTTCTTTTAAATCAGGGCTCACGGCCACACCGCACACAGTGTAGGTTATTAAAGAATTATCATTAAAAAAGAGGAACGTATTTGCATCAGTAATTGCAACAACAACAAAAAAACATTTTTGTTTACAATTTTCAGACTGTGATATTAGTGTGACTGTCTTTTAACCCAGTAACACGGATGTTTCCAATGGTTGAATGGAATCTATTGAAATGAATACTACAAAAGGTCAAATGTGGAGGGTTAGAACGTTGAATGCAAAGTGAATTGGACAAAATATTAGCACTGGTACAAAAGCCCACAGGTGCAGTAAACCCTGGATTCATTTGATACAAGCTGTGAATAATTCTAGAGTTATACACTGCAAAAAGAGGCTGCAAAAAACAAGAAAAAAAAATGGCTACTAATGGAGGAAATTAACTTGTTTTAAGCAAAATGATCTGCCAGTGGATTAAGATTTCTTAAAACAAGAAAAAATATATCAATAACAAGTAATATTATCTTAAGTATCTTCAGCCTGCATGAGTAAAAAAGTCAACAAACGGTGATCGTATTTGGTTGTATAGTTATGTTTATATATATTTGCATGTAAAAGTATATACGGTAAACACAGAAGACAACCTGTAGAAAAAGTAGGGCTGTCAAACGATTGAAATGTTTTAGTTGATTAATCGCACAGAAATGGTGAGTTAACTCACGATTAATCGCATTTTTAATATTCTATTTCAAATCCACTCCAATTGAAGTTAAATGAGATTATCAAATGTCATTCATACCACATTGTCATTCAAACCAAATGTACTTAAATCTGTTAGATTTGCTCACAACCCTTTGCTTTTGGGCAAAACCAACATGAGCTGTTAATGAAAAGGGGAAATGGAAATACCCCAGCTTTAATTCAGCGAGTTTAGTTTAGTTTAGTTTCAGGAGGAGACAGGGACACTTCCGCAGTGTATTTGCGTGCACAGGTTGTGCACAGGTTACGCACAGGTTGCAAAGACACGAACAAAGCATGCAGGCTATAGTTCTGTGGCGTGTATGGTCTTGTTACCGCGGCGCCATTCACTCACAGCCGTGTTGTTGTGAGCGGCTCACAGCCAGAGCGGCCGCGGAGGAGGCGGACCTCAGTTCACAGCAAACAACAGCCCCGCGGTGACGCGCTTGTTCTTTTAAAACATGAGTTCCCAGAGGGCCTACCTGCTCTGATGCATCTCACACGCAGCATTCTGAGTGATATTAAGGATAAATGGGCGGGTAATTCGGACTTGCGTTAATGCGTTATTTTTTTTTTTTACGCGTTAATAAAAAATGTAATTAACGTGAGTTAACGCGATAATTTTGACAGCCCTAAGAAAAAGTCATGCAAACTAAGGAATTTAAATTATGATTGACTATGACTTATATGACTTATAATTGTAGAATTTCTGCTTGAATGGATAAAATCAGTCAATTATCAAATGACATCGGTCACGACAACTTTCACTGGAGGATTTATACAAGTGCAAGTTTTGGGTTAAAAATTGCTACAAAAAGAATCTAGCCCATGCTTCTTCCGGTTCTTTTTCATGTGTTTTGACGGCAAGCTTTAAGCCAAATTGCACACGTTGTCGCTTAATGACTTCACTCTGAGCACATTGTTGCTCGTCTTACGCAACCGTTACAAAACACCAAATCAAAGGCAGCATTTACCAACACAAGCCGACACACTCGAGTCTTGTGCGCTAAGATCTCATGCCTTGAAATTAGGATTGTAACTTCAGTGGACAGATCGAAAGCGTAAACCACAGCTGGCCACATCTGCTCTTGACTCGTACCCTCACCACAGCTCATTAGGCTCCCTGCGGATCCCCCGGGACTACCCTTAAATTCAACTTTAAGCACCTCTTCTACCTCCACACTGCCGCCCACCAGATGTCTTTGGCTGCAGTATGAGGCTCCGCTCTTGGACGTCCTGGTCTTTAACCCTCGCCACGCCAGGCTTGTCCCTTGTGTCCGACGCTGCACTGGCTGCTTCCCTCCGCGGGGGTCGGACGGACAGATGCGTGCCATAAAAAAAACACGCTTCTGACCTCATTTGCCACAAGAGACTGGAGATGCACACAGAGGGAGGAGGAATAGCAACAGCTGTACAGTACAGAGAACAAGGAGGGCTTCTTTCAAAAGGGAAATGTGAGGGGAATGTTGAGAGTGGTACAGTTTATATTTTATACTTTTATATCTGTGCAGCACTTTGGAATCTTGTTTTATAGAAGAGATAGATACTTTATTGATCCACATTTTTATATACACACATACATACACATACTGTACATCCAAACAAACCAAACAATTAATTGATCATTCTAAAACGTTAACAATAATAATAATAATAAGCAACAGTCCTTCAGGTCACAGCAGAGATGGAGCCGCTTGGTTCGGACCATTTTCTCTGCTCTGGTCCAAAGTAAAATGCTAAATGTTTCATTAGCATTTTGCAAAAAGTTAGAATTCCTCCAGTGGGTTTTCACCTGATCCGCTTGGTTCGGACCATGAATCCTCTCTGGTCTGGACCAGTGTAAAACCATGAATCCTCTCTGCTCTGGTCTGGACCAGTGTAAAACCATGAACACTGTACTGCAGCAACATCTAAGGGAGAAAAAAAACAAGAAACATAACAATTGTATAACACAAAAAACAACTGTTTCAGAGATACTTTATCCGTTTCCAACGCATTCAAAAGTAAAAAAAAAAAAAGGTGGATTGGATTATATTATTAAATTATGTCAGCTGTATAAAATGCACAGCATTGCTACCATCTTAAAGGTTTATAGGAGGATTTTACAATTTTTTTAGGAAAGAACCGCCCTCTCCTTATGAACAAACTCTCTGGTCTTACTGGACGAGCACGTATCACCAGAATGATTGACAATTGTTAGGACCAATAGTCTTGATGTTGAAGTAGAAAACCTCCTATTTACTTTTATTACAATTGTCCAATGAAGTGTCGGCACAAACACACATTGAATTAAATCTGGGCAACATGACATTGTGTTTGTCTCAACAGAAATACTAAAAGATAAAGTTGTGTGTACAAGTCTGACTGCAACAGATTTATCTTTTGCCAAACTGTCAGAGCCCGGTGAGTCACAGTTTGAGGATTTGGGGCAGAGCTGATCGGCTGAGTGAGGGCCGGGATTTTAATGTATTTTTCTTATAAAATATTTACCCATGTCTCGTTAAATAATAATTTGACATGAAAACAAGCCTCGACTACCATAAACTTATTTGTCTGAGACCCTCTGTTCGACTGGGGATTACAGGACAACAAAAATAGCTAGAAAGAAACTTATTTTATCAAAGTGGACAAACTTTGATGAAGTCTTTCAGAATATGGTTTCATATTTCACATAGTTTTAGGAAATAATATTCTGTGGGTCTTAAGAATCAGTGGAATCATCAAAAACGGCTGGCAGTCAATGAGTTAATTCTGACTCGGAAAATACTCAGCATGATGCATTCTGTTTAATATCAATGTTCTTGTAGAATTGAAAAAAAAAAATAGTTTCACTCAATACTAGAGGAATGAGGAATTACACTGATGTGAGAAACTGTCCCCACAATGACGATAAATAAACATGTTTAACAAATATTTATTGTTTACACACACACACAAAAATCACTCTTGATCCATACATTACATTAAGGTGCAAAAAGCTTGATATCTTAAAACATCACAAACTCCCCATTTACACTGACAAATACATAACATCTAAATGCCCAACGGCCAGAATCTATAAAAGCATTTGGTGATAAAACGTCTTTGGGGGATTTGAACCTGAGTTTTGTCCCTAGAGCCTCACGCAAAGGGAGTTCACCGAGGCCAACGCACAACGGCAGACTTTCTACTACCATGTTCTAATTGACAGATAAAATAGTTATGAAAAACCATGTGATTTCTGTGTGTTTTTGGGAGATACATAATTTGGACTTTAAAATCCTGAGTCGATATTTTTTTGTTGAGCTCAAGAAAAGCCATTCTCTTGTCAAGAAAGCAGTGACATCACAATGGTTGCTGATGTAGGGGAAAAAAAAAAAAATCATACAATCTACGGGCTAACATTCTAGTTTTGAGTGGGAGGGTCTGAACAATTCTACAAAACAATGGAGATGTTTGATTTTGCCTGGAAAAAAATACAGAAAAATGTATTGAATTGAATACGTTTTTAGTTTTCATGAGACAAGCAAGAGACGGACCGTCCACCAGAAGCCTCCAGTGTCAAGAACATTAATAAACATTGAAATAACTGAATCTAATTTACTTTTTTAATATTGAAACTTGGGAACAATTAACCATTTACTACTTTCTATCAAGTTTGCCTGGGCTGTTGTCTTCATCCATCAAGTTTGTGTGGATATATGAGCGAAAATATAAAACCATAAATGCAGTAGGAACGGGTCCAACGCCAACGCTGCGGGCTGAGATTAAATTCTCATTAAGATCTGGCAACCCTCGCACCACTGGCTATAATGGCTATTGTTGATCAGTAAGTACAACTGCAGTACATGCCCGCAAAAAGAATCACTAAACAGATAAAAGTGAATTAAGTTTCTATCTGCAATCTAAAACTTTGATTCATTTTACACATTCTTTTATAAAAGCAAAAATGTGTTACAAAATACTGAGCCCTGAAGTTTTCAAATGGTTTAAAAGTAAAATAAATAGGCAATTATGCATACAGTAAGACATTTCAAGCGCAAACAATTATATTATGGAGAAATATTTCTGTAGAATGAGGTTTACATGTCTGGACGTTTCAGTGATGGAGTTTTAAATGACGTCTTTTAAATGGATAAATTAGTCAAAATGCTACAGCAGCACTTCCATCGCAAAAAGGCAAGAAGTATCTAAAGTGCTGGGAGAAAAATGTCAAAATAAGCATATCCTCTCCTCCTTCCTACTTTGTCTGCATTACTAGGATTTTGACTGTAGTCTGTTCATTGCTATTCATCCGTTGTCCCATTGTTTGTTTCATGGCATCCAATGGGACCCTTGAACCTGGACCCCTTCATCTGCACCTGCGGACTGCCCTGTGCGGGCCTGACCTGTTCTACAACCTGAGTCCTGGATCTACGGCCCGTTCATCTGTGTGGAGCGGATCCCTCTCTCAATGTGGTTCTCCCTGAGGTTTCTAAAAAAAAAATCTCACTCGGTTTTAGAGTTTTTTCCTCTGACACAGGAGATTCTGACTCTAAAAAAGGACTTGGTGATGATGCAGGACACTCTAACATTCAACATTCATGGACATTGGTATTGTTCCATAGAGTTTGACCAATGTGTTATATATTCTTTGAGTCTTAACTGTTGATTCTCTGATCTGTGTTGGGGATTTCAATGGTTTTGTGAAGTCCTGAGATTTAGGGCTTTACAAGAATACATTATATTGGAGTTGAGCAATGATTAATAAGGAAATATGAAAGTTGCACAAAGTTGGCACGTCAGTATATCCTGTCCAAATGAAGGAGTAGAATTCTAACCCTTTTTAAGATCATATATGAGTATAAGTATTACAGGTTAAGTAATACAGTAGTACTAGTTGCATATTGTGGGGTGGTCTGAGTTTTGTTGTGACGTTTTGAAGTTGTATGAAAAGAATAAAAGCTGATAAATATTTCAGTGCTAAAGTCGCTGCTGCTTGGACAAACCAATGTGTATTTTTTTTTTTTTTTTACATGTGTCTGGATTATTAATGTACCACTTTCACTTTGGACGCACTCATTAGGCTGACGGCAAAACACCCCAGTGCAATAAGGCTTAAGTTAATGGAAGTTGGCAGTCTATTCCTACTGTACTATACAATTTACACAAACAATGAGAAAGATTAAAAGGCTTGGAACAAAGGATTCCTAACAACGGTGTAATATTCTAAGAGGAAAATTATCAGATGCAGGCAGACAATCTACTTTGGAAATAGAGTTCGCTTCTGTGCTGGTTTGCTTTAACAATAGCAAATGTAAGTAGTAGCGACGCCTGTGCACGTTCAGCTACAAGTTCCAGAAAAACTTAGAAAATCTACCGATGATAAAATATTTGAAAACAGTATTCACATGTGTGGTATTAATATAAAGCCCTGATATGCAGATGCTAACAGCGTTTAGCGGTGTAACTTGCTGACACCTATAGCAATTAATTCCCATAGCTGGCAGGCAAGGTCTCTCCCATTTCTGTAAGCTTTTCTTCACTCATAACTCCAGGCTTTCAGCAGAAAACGCTGCTCTTAAATAATTTGTATTCATGTGTCATCGCGGCGGCAGAACAAGCACTTTTGACTCTGGGATGTGGCGCCCGATCCCACAAAAGTGAAATGTAAAAATAACATGTGAATTATGAAATATCAGCCAAATAAAACCCCTAACAAAGAAGTAATAGTGGCTTGTGAAATGGCAACTGTCTACAAAAAGGGGTTTCTAAAAATCAAAATACGTTTGCGCACTGAAGGTAAAATAATATTCAGCCAACAAATGAATAATTAACTGAATTAGTTTGACTGGGCATGTGGACAACGTAAGAATTGAAATTGCGGACTTGGATTTACAATTTCTAATATGTGTTTGAGTCTTGAGACCGAAGGCAACTCCGCACTCAAGCATATGCGGTAAAAATGTAAAAACATGTTAATAATTGTGATTCTGAATGCTTGAAAATGCTTGAAAGTAAGATGCAAATGTGTAAATTAAAGGTCCACGTTGCAACTTTTCTGATGGGGTCCGTTACCTGCTTGTTAATGTGGAGATATGAAATGTTCGTTAACTGACATCACTTAATCACAGTTGCTTTTATAGCTTACAAACCGGAATGGATACGTGGAGTCGGCTCTCTCCTCTCCGCAGATATGACGTGCGAGTTACCGGGGGGATTTCTCTCGCTTGTATCAAATGTAGGTCAATAGTTTTAATGCCAATCAGTGAAACATTCCAGGCAAAACAACAGATACAGACGAAACGGAAGCATGTGGCGGACCTTGCATCAGAAAAGTTGGAAAAGCAGTGACCCCCAATCTAAATTAGTCCGTCAAAACAGGTCAAAAAAGGCTATGTTGAAAAATAAATTTAAATGTGCATTAAAACAAGGAGAAGCCGTTTCCCAGCCACATGTGGACAATGGGACTGGTTAGAATTTAGAGTGGGCGTGGCTAAAACGCAACGGGGACTTTTTAAAATGATATCTTAGTTGAAAGTTGACGAATGAAAGTTAACGTTCATTTTTTATAAATAGATTGCTGGTTTTATTTTTGTTTAAATTATTAATGTTTATATTTATATAATCATACATTTATTCATTCATTGTGGCTCGAGCATGTAGGTGAATCTGAATCAGAGGTGTGTATGCGTTTACAGTGGTGGAGATACAGTATATGGCCTCAGAACTGGTGATGGGAAAGAGGTGTAGGGTCAGAGAGTGTTTGGTGCTGTATCTCAAATCTGCTTCGTCCAAACCTCTTTTCAAACTGTATGTTTCTGTGTATATTGTATAAAAAATAAATATATTTGGTTGATTGATCATGTATGGTTTGTACATATCTATTGGCTTTGGTTTAGAGAGATTAAAAATAAAAAGGTTGACAGAACATTTGGATTCTGCAGAGAAAAAAAAAAACAATGTAGTAAAAAATAAGGACATTCCCAGTTACTGTTTTGCATTTGACCCTGAACGTCACCCTTGATCGTCCCCTTGAGGCAGTTCATTCACAACAACCTGTTAGGGGTGAAGGGAGAGGCCGAGGGACCACCTGTGTGTTGGCTGGAAGACTTTGTTTGCATGTTCTTAACTCCACTTGTCACAACGCGTTAGGTTCAGAACAGCTGCAGCAGCACCTCCGGCCCCCAGTCCATCGCGGTCTGAGCCACGGCGAACACGGCCGCCCCAAGAGTCGCCGAAAGTCCCCACACGGCCATCTTCACCGCCCTGTTGCCCCGCCCCCACACGGAGGAGGAGGCGTCCCGGGGCAGAAGAGCCAGCTCGGAGCTCGTCGAGGCTATGGGGCATAAAACACGAAGGGGAGGAGGGAGGAGGGGTGATGGGTGAGAGAAAGGAGACACACCAAGGTCAGGAGGATTCATGACACTGTAGACGGACTGTGGCGATGATACGGGAGGAGGACAGGGATCAAGACGTACTGAGTGAACCATATATTCACAACTCTCTGTCCTTACTGCATTTTAAATCTGATTATAGAGTTTTATTAGACACAGAGAGCGCAGTGCTAATGTGTGTAACTCTGGAGAAGTCGTCATGCTTCGACTCTCTTAAAGTTGTGAAAAAAGGCTTCTGAGCTTATCGCAGTGAATAATCATGAAGCTCTGAATGCGTGTTTTTTGAATATTGTCATACGTTTATGAGGTATAATTAGACTAGATTAAAGTTGAAATGTACTGACAAAGCATTGCAACAGTTTGGGTTGGCCCAGGAAGTACAAAGAAATTAAAGAGGTCGGAATTTTGGCAGTTTCCACAACTTGTAATGTCACATGAACACAATCCTGTGAATCACTGATAATAACAATTGGCTGCAGGGGCTCTAAACTAAAACGACTTGAAATAGAAGTAAGTAATCCATTTTTATTGCACCATTCACAAAGCATGACCTTTTCCTTCTCACTCCACACAGTGATTAAAACGGGGTTGCCGAACAGAAGGCACACACCGAACCACTTGTACACATGTTTTAATGGTTGGTTAAACTGAAATAAACCGGCGTAGACATGGGGAGAACATGCAAACTCCACACAGAAATGCCCAGTCTGGAGGTGGAGTCTAACCCAAGACCTTCTAGCTGTGTTTCACAAGTACTAACCGCTGTGCCAACACCGCCCATAACATATTTACGTTTTCCAACAAATAATGTTTTTGTCTCTTGTCATTAATGCATTTTGAACAATTATATAAATGAATCTTAATTTTTAGTCATTTTTTGATAATTTTTGGCAGGATAACATCAACGTAGATATGGCTTTGATATGGCAAAGTGCAGAACCATTTCAAAGAGACCGGAAAAGTAACATAGATCCCCTTTAAGTGCAAATACACGACATTGCCCTCGGTACACCTGTATACCGTCATTAGTTAAAGCAGTGGAAGAAATCTGCCTGTCAATCTCCGCTTGTTTCTCAATATCTTCAACGGTGAATGAAAAAACCATCTGCCTCCAACATCTGGACTCTGAGCTCGTGCGCGCGGGGAAGGCCCATAAACACGGAAACATTAGGAGGGGGATTGGTGGATTATAGTTTGGGCTTTCTCTATTAGACGTGGAATAAACTGTACTGTCACTCACTCTGTCATTTCTATTGGCCCCATCAAAGCCATTTCGCTGCGCCATTGTCTGCCTCAATGAAGTCAGGAGGCACTTACATCAGTCTTCTGTCTGTCCATTACGCATTTCATTTTGGACGCGACTAATTGAATTCACTGGGAAATGCAAGGAATAATGTGCAGTTACATCCATTTGCCTCGATGGAAATGATTGGACATATTTCCGATAAATCACAGAGAATAACACAAGACTTTGACAGTATCTATCTATGCGTGGCGTATTCAAATGAGCACTTGATTGGTTGGAAGGGCTGCTGCAACATGTGTTTACTTGTTATTGATTGGCCCACAGGGATCAGAGACGGCGGAGGAGGGAGACTTTATTATTACCTTGTTTTGAAGTAAATTTCCCATTTACCAAGTCATAAAAAAGCTATTGTGGAAATATTCTTTTTTCAAGCCATTACGTCTTTCACTGTTGAACAATTTATTAACTCACTCAGCAATACTTCAGAGGATAATTTATTGCTTGTTGTTGTCCCCATTTTGTCTGTAACGAGTCTGTCTGCGATAGAGTTCTTTCTTTCTGAACTAGAGGTCAATCAATATGAGTTTTCTCTACCCAATATTGGCCAATTTCAAGAGCAGATTTGTTTTTAAAGGCCGCATATAAACGCGCTTGGTGCTAGTGCTAATGCTATTGCGCTAGTTAGCAATTAGACCAGTTTTAGAGGTTATCATAAAAGGCCTTTAAGGATATTTCTTATAAAGGAAACGGGGGAAAGTTTTGTTTATAGGACATCGTTTGCATCTGTGGTTATGAAACAGGACTGGTTTATTGTTCAGGGTAAATTGTGTTTTTCTAAATATCTTTACAATGAGGTAGAACATGCCATGGTTGCATATCAGCCAAATTGTGAAAATAGAATGAAACTTTTTGAAGCACTGGTTAGACCCACCCCTGCTGCTTTGATGCTTTGTTTACCGGTGCAAATATAGGCCCTGTTTACACGGAGACGCTGTGACAGTAAAACGATAGAGTTGGTATCGGCGTGGCCTGAGCCGGTGTTTCAGGGGGGTTAAAACGCAACCGTTGAGATACTTTGCGCGGTGGGGAGATGTGAACTCTCTGTCTGCAATGACCTCACCGCTTCTCCCCCCATGCATTTGGACATGAGCAGAAGCTACTAACGTAAACAACATTGGCAGCAGATTAACTGATGCTACGTGTGCTTTGAGCGCTACACAGAAGAAAATTCATCCAAACAAAACCATGCCACGCTCTAGTTTCAGTTTCCATTTTCGCAGCATGCAGAATGATGTTGGTTTTTTCACGTCTTTGTGGCGGCCCTAGGAGGATGTTGTTGAGAAAGTGATTATAGGGTCGTCGTTGTGTTGTGCCGTGTTGTAAAGTTCAACTGCCCTCTACTGGTCGGGCGGTAGAACTACATTGTTTTCCATCGCCGTGAAAACACTTTGATTCCAGAGCGAGGTCCGAATTGCTTCGCAGCGTCTCCATGTAAACAGGGCCATAGATAAAAAAGTCTCATACAGAAATTTAAGTTTTTTGCTCTAGCTTTCATTTGTAAACGTATTTGATTGTCCGTGTAGAATGCTGTGAAATGATATTACGTCAAAGTATCACTGATGTAATTCTGTGGCTTTCTTATGGTAGCTGAATGGCCTTCATCTTATCTAATCCTAAAATGCTGCTACAATCCTGAATTAAATGGGCAGCGGCGATGGCACATTGGCTGACCATAACTGGATATTGGTGACAGAAAAGAGGCTATTACACCCCTCAGAGCTATTCGAGAATGAAGTACATTGTTGTGGACAAAGCCTCAGACGGCGAGGATGTGAGAGCAGCGGCGTTACCGTGTCTGGAGAAGGAGCCGGGGTTTTTAGTGAGGCGCTGGAGAACAGAGTCAGGTCTTTGGTGCAGAGTGGAGAGCTGGAACGCCTGGAACGTGCTGACAGACAGACTGGAGAAGAGAGAGGGAATGGTGTAAGCAACAAGAAGAAACATGGGGAAAGGATTCAGCATTGATTTTCGGGTTGAAGAAATATACTGAATACGCTGTGTTAGGGTGATTAAAGTTGGTGGACCGGATTATTTCATAACATTGTTAAAAAAATGTCTGCTCTGATAAAGTTTCTCGCTGTAATAAACAGTTTGGTTCTATCACTTTTGGCATGCATACAGAGAAAAGTGAAATAAGGACAGGACCACTCTTCTCACCAACGTAACAAGACCTAATCTAACAAATAACATGTGAAATAAAACAACTCAGGAGACCACCGGGATTCTCCCAATGACAAATCTGTAATGTCAAAGTACTTCTGCTGTGGTGTTTTTAGTTTGATGGAGTATTAGGATGAATACTGATGAGAGAAAGTGCTGATACTACAATCGGTGCTGGTCTTGTTGGATTTTAAAAAATGCTTAAAAACAATGTCTCCTGTAAAATTAATGGACGTTATCAATGTGAAAGTGTCAGACATTGTGCATAGGGTTAAAAACAATAACATTTCTAATTCCATTAAGAGTTTCTTTAAATTAGGAGAAAGTTGTTACCACCTCAGAGGTTTATTTATATTTGAAATGGTTAAAGTTAGCACCGATGTGAAGTCCAGATGTGTTTCAGTTCAGGGTTTTAAGCTTTGGAATGGATGGTGCTCAATACGTCGATCGCGATCGACCGGTCGATCGCGAAGGTAGTATTGGTAGATCGCGTGTCATAAAAAAAAATTGACGCCAGCCTATCATTCAACGCGTCTTTTGACTGATGAACAGGCAGCCAGTCAGATCGTAAAACTCAGCCCCTCGAAGCGCGCACTACAAAATAAAATAGAGGTAATTGACGCTTTATGTACGCTGTGATTGATCTAAAGCTGACCAAAGAAAACAACCACTCAAAGATCTGCTGTGCGTAATGACTACACCATTTACTCAGTCTAAAAACAAACATAACCATAAACAATATATCAGAGTCCTCCCCGCGCCCACTAGGGAATATTGCATTACGGTCCTTTATTTTGTAGGACATAGCGGAACAGGAAGTCATAACATGTAAACCTTCCGGCTTCATCAGACGCTCATGACATGTTTGATTATTGTCATTCTACTGCTGTTACTCATTAAAGCAAGTGAGCAAATGGAACTTCGTTCTTATTTATAATCAAACATGCGAACAATGCCGAGCAGAGAGCACCTGCGCCAGAGTGCAGCACCTGCAGCATCGATAAACAAGTGAGTGGACCACGAGTGAGCAACGTCGCCCGGGAACATGAATGAATGAGTACATCATAGAAAGCATAACACTGCAAGACCAAAGATGAGCGTGCATTGCCCTGTTGAAAACTGTGACTATGTAGCCACACATGAAGAAATAGCAGTAGTGGTAGCCATGCTGAACATACATGCGACCACGCACGCTGCGGCCCCCAGGGAGCCATACATGAATGCTAAGATGGAGAAACTCAAGCGCCCCTCCATAGCGTTGGCAGGGACGGCTGAGACCTGGTCATACTTTCTAACCCGCTGGGGTGAATACAAGAGGGGGACCAAATTGATCGGATCTGACATTGTTACACAACTACTAGAGTGCTGTGAGGAAGATCTGAGGAAGGACCTCACCCGCGCAGCAGGCAAGAGCCTAGTGGACAGTGAGGAAGAGGATGTCCTCTCTGCCATGAGGGCACTCGCTGTGCGTGCAGAGAACACAATGGTAGCTCGAGTGACCCTGTCTAACATGCGACAGGGACACGAAGAACCCATCCGATCATTCTACGCTCGCTTGAAAGGGCAGGCGGACACATGTAAATATGAAATGAATTGCACCAAAGAGGGGTGCAACCAAGTCAATGACTTCACAGAGGACATACTGCGCGACGTAATCGCCCGTGGCATAGCAGACCAAGAAATACAGCTTGATCTGCTTGGCGAGAAAAATCAAAATATGCCATTGAGGGACATGATAGAATACATCGAAGCTAAAGAGTCAGGAAAGCGCTCAGCATCACGGCTACTTGGTCCCCAGAGCACAGACGCAGTCAGCAGCTCGTACCGACGAGGGAAGCAGCAGGACACCCGTACCAGAGGGGGCACCAGGACAGAGACATCAAAGGTCAAGCCTGAGGGGACGTGCATCTACTGCGGCGAGACAGGCCATGGAAAAACACCACAGTGGCGCACCAGGCGTGCTGAATGCCCCGCATATGGCAAGACGTGTCGAAAATGCAGTCGTCAGAACCACTTTGACAAGGCCTGCTTAGGTGGTCGTTCGCCTAGGCCCCCACCAGAGGAGACTGATGGGGTGTGTGACGAACAGCAGACGGCCGCATTCGTCGAGCTATGCACGCTGACTGCAAGTAGCTCTAACGACAAGATACGCACACTTCCCCTCGCCCACCACCTGTATGATGATATGTGCGATAAGTGGACGAGGCGGCCATCCAACCCACAGCCATACATCCACCTCACCATCACCATCGAACGCGAGGATTACAAAGCGCTGGGCCTCGACCTTCAGAAACGCACCCGGGCCGTGACCCTGCCTGCCATGGCTGACACAGGGTGCCAGAGCTGTCTAATCGGTGTCAAAGTCGCCCAACGGCTGGGACTAAGTACAGAAGACCTTATTCCCGTATCCATGACGATGAAGGCCGCAAACGATGAGGGAATACGGATTCTCGGGGCCGCCGTCGTCAGGTTCGCTGGTACCAGCAGCGACGCCCGTAGATTGGAGACGCGCCAAATCGCATACGTGACAGACACCTCAGACCGTATATTCCTTTCTCGTACGGCCTGTGTAGACCTGGGCATGATCTCAGACAAGTTTCCAACGCTCGGGGAGGTCAACCTGGCGACCTCGGACCCATGTGACTGCCCGCAACGCGCGGAGCCCCCAACCAGACCGACTACGCCCCCATGCCGGCCACTGAAGCTAACAGAGAGGCTCTACGGAAACACCTACTGGGGCTATACGCTCAGAGCACATTCAATACGTGCCCCCACCAGCCCCTGCCAAGAATGTCCGGTCCGCCACTTCGACTCATGCTCAATGAAAATGCGACGCCAGTTGCCTGCCACACCCCGATTCCCGTGGCCATACACTGGCAAAATGAAGTGAAGGCAGGCCTTGACCAGGACGTTCGTCTTGGCGTCCTGGAAGAGGTGCCCATCGGCACGCCGGTGACGTGGTGCCATCGCATGGTAGTCTGCGCGAAAAAGAATGGCACACCTCGGCGCACCGTCGACTTCCAAGCCCTGAACAAGCATGCGCTCCGTGAGACCCACCACACACAGTCCCCCTTCCACCAGGCGAGACAGGTTCCCAGTGGCAAACGCAAGACTGTGTTCGACGCTTGGAATGGCTATCACAGCGTCCCACTGCATGAGGACGACCGCCACAAGACGACGTTCATCACCCCTTGGGGGCGCTACCGGTACCTCTCAGCCCCACAAGGATACTTGGCGTCGGGGGACGGTTACTCACGACGCTATGACGAAGTGGTCGCGGACATTGGCAACAAGACCAAGTGTGTGGACGACACATTACTGTGGGCGGATTCGATTGAGGAGAGCTACTTCCAGGCAATACAATGGCTGGACGTCTGTGGCAGGAACGGCATCATCCTCAACCCAGATAAGTTTGTCTTTGCTGCACCCACAGTGGACTTTGCTGGCTTCACAATCACCATGTCTGATGTACGCCCGTGCAGCCGTTACCTGGAGGCGATCCGAGACTTTCCACGACCGCGCAACGTCACCGACGTCAGGTCATGGTTCGGACTTGTCAATCAGGTAGCCTACGCCTTTAGCATAGCCGAACGTATGCAACCATTCCGGAAACTCCTGCAGCATGAGACACGCTTTGAGTGGTCTCCGGAGTTGGAGGACATTTTCCGCGAGTCGAAAGAGACCATCGTCCGGGAGATCGAGCACGGCGTCCGCATATTCGACAAGTCCAAGTCGACGTGCCTCGCCACAGACTGGTCGAAGGAGGGCGTCGGTTTCTGGCTGTTCCAGAAGCACTGTCAGTGCATGCCGGTCAGACCCTTCTGCTGCGCCGATGGGTGGAAGGTGACCTTGGTTGGCAGCAGGTTTACACACGCAGCTGAGTCCAGATACGCGCCCGTAGAAGGTGAAGCTCTTGCAGTCGCTGACGCATTGGACAAAGCACGCTACTTCGTCTTAGGTTGCAGGGACCTGATCGTGGCGGTCGACCACAAGCCGTTACTCAAGCTCCTTGGCGACAGGGCACTCGACGACATACCCAACCCCCGTCTCAGGAACCTCAAGGAAAAGACCCTGCGCTATCGCTTCCGCATCGTGCACGTGCCGGGGATGAAGAACAGGGCCGCGGATGCCATGTCGCGTAGGCCGGTCGGCACGCTGTGCCCGTCACCAGGATTTGCCGGACGACAATGCTGCCATGGTGACCCACCTCTCGCCCAGCACACACGCTGATGTCCTGTCCCTTATACGACTGACAGGGCCAGTAAACGACGAAGTTGAGGAAGGAGACCTGACCTGGTGCGCTGCTGGGCTTGAATCGCTGCGGTCCGTGACGTGGGATCGCGTCAAGGAGGCCACCTGCAGCGACGACGACATGCGTGCACTGGAGGAGATAGCAGCGGACGGCTTCCCCGAGTCGAGGACAGGAATGCCGGTGGCCATTCGCAACTTCCACCAATACCGCGAAGACATTACATCTGCTGATGGGGTGGTCCTGTACAAGGACAGAGTGATCATTCCACCCTCGCTCCGTGGTGAGGTACTGAGTGCCCTGCATGCTGCCCACCAGGGTGTCTCAATGATGACCGCTCGTGCCGAGTCTTCTGTGTTCTGGCCAGGCATGTCGGCCGACATCTCCGCCACTCGAAAAGACTGCGAGCACTGTCACCGAATGGCACCCTCTCAGCCTGCGGCGCCGCCGACCCCTCCTATCATGGCTGTATACCCCTTTCAGGCTGTGTGTTCAGACTTTTTCATACACAGGGGCGTGCACTACCTTGTGATAGTGGACCGCTACTCGAACTGGCCAATCGTCTCGAGATCAACGGGTGGCGCTGCGGACCTCATTTGCCACCTACGCCGCGCTTTTGCAACATATGGGACGCCTGAGGAGCTGGCATCAGACGGGGGGCCTGAGTTCACCTCCGCTGAGACCAGGTCTTTCCTGCGCAGATGGGGTGTGCATCATCGCCTCTCTTCGGTGGCCTTCCCTCACAGCAACTGCCGCGCGGAGATTGGAGTGAAGACGATGAAGCGGCTCATCACTGACAATACAGGTCCGCACGGCGAACTCGACACTGACGCGGTGCAGAGGGCGATACTGCAATACCGTAATACACCGGACCCTGACACGAAGCTTTCTCCGGCGTTGTGTGTCTTCGGCCGCCCTATACGCGATTTCATCCCGATTCCCCCCGGGAAGTACAGGCCGCACGAAACATGGCGTGAGACGCTGGTTGCAAGAGAAGAGGCCCTCCGCAAACGCCACGTCCGCACTGCTGTTGCTTGGGCGGAACACACCAAACGACTCCCACCCCTCAAGGTGGGGGACTTTGTCCGTGTGCAGAACCAGACGGGACCTCACCCCAACAAATGGGACAGGACGGGCAGTGTTGTGGAGGTGCGCCAGCATGACCAGTATGTAATCAAGATTGACGGATCGGGCAGGGTCTCGCTTCGGAACCGGAGATTCTTGCGCAAGTTCTACCCAGTTCGCAATGACCAGCTTCCTCCTCGATCTCTCTATGACGACTTGGCGCCTTGTGTCACGATGCCAGCTCTTCCTGTGTCGCCATTGCCGTCCAGTCGTGTGTGCAGCCCGGTGACACCTGTGGTGGAGTCTGGGCCCACCCCGCCGCCGACACATCCACCTGCGGGCTCTCCCCGCCGCGGTTTGCGGCCAGTTTCCCTCATGCCTGCGGTGCCAGCCCGGGACATCCCTTGTACTCCGCCACCGGACTCTGTGGCCCCCTTGGCCCCTTCGCCGCCGGCTGCGTCGCCAGCTACGGAGTTACGCCGGTCCACCAGGAAAGCCGGTGTGCCTGCCTGGCATGGGGACTATGTCTTGGAATAGTCTTGGGGTTTTGTGGGCATTGTGTTCCTGTTGGATCTTCCATTTGTGTTTCTAGTTCCTCTGCCCTGTACACTTTCACGTTAGTGTTGCACTATGGTCCTTCGTGCCGTTTTTCTTTATCAGCCTTTGTGTTACTGTGTTAAAGGCTCGGGGGGAGATAGGGAATATTGCATTACGGTCCTTTATTTTGTAGGACATAGCGGAACAGGAAGTCATAACATGTAAACCTTCCGGCTTCATCAGACGCTCATGACATGTTTGATTATTGTCATTCTACTGCTGTTACTCATTAAAGCAAGTGAGCAAATGGAACTTCGTTCTTATTTACCCACCGTATGTCCCACTTCAAACCTGGTGACGAGTCCGTGGCTCCGGTGATAGTCCGTGTACTTCAAAAGGCAAATCCAAAACATAATGAAACAATGAAAGTAATCCAAACGGAACGGGAAAGTATTCCAACTGTGAAAGTAATCCAAAAGTTCAGAGCGGGGCAGAGCGCATTGGGCGAGTGCGCACAGTCTCTCCCTCTCCAGTGTATATTAAATACCTACGCACAGTATCGTGCGTGAGCGGCAACCCGGCTCTCCTGCGGGGTTCGTCCCGAGGGTCCGAACAGTCTGCTACATTAATCCTCACACCGATCACCGACTCGAGTCTCTCGTGGTCTCCTTGAGCCGTGTCCAAAACCCAAAGATTTCATCTGACAGCGGCTGTCATTTTTCTGACACTTAGGTCACTGCGCACGCGCAAACACCGGCGCTCAGTGGCGGTAATTCGCTGACAAGCTAGTTTTGCTGCAACTTTCTGCCCTTGTTTGTTTTCTATCAAACCTAAGAAAGGTTATAAAAATGAGCGGGGGAGCTGGACCAAGTAAGAAGTCAAAAACTTATCACTTTCATTCGCAATGGGAGGAGGACTATTTTTTCATGATGACATTTTCGAAGTGCGTTTGCCTCATCTGCCAGTCCACCATCGTTTGCCTCATCTGCCAGTCCACCATCGCAATACCAAAGAAGGGAAATGTGGAGCGGCATTTTCGGACTATGCATAGAAAATACGACACTGACTTCCCACCAAAAAGCGAGCTGAGAAAGAGAAAGGTGAAGGAACTAAAATCACAGTTGTCCGGACAGCAGTCATTTTTCACACAACAAACTTCAAGAGCGAAAGCTGCAACCGAAGCATCGTTCCGAGTGAGTCACATCATCGTTAATAAAAAAAAGTCTTTCCAAGACGGAGAGATGGTAAAGGAGGCATTCGTTGAAGCAGCTGATTCATTGTTTCGAGACTTTAAAAATAAGGCAGACATATTATCTTTGATCAAAGCTCTCCAGCTGTCAAGAAGTACAGTTACACGGCGCTGTGAAGCCATGGCTGAGGATTTAACCCAGCAACTCTGGAAGGACATCGGAGATTGCGAGTGTTTCTCACTGCAGTTGGACGAATCTACGGACGTGAGTGACACAGCCCAGATGTGCATTTTTATTCGTATGGTGTTTAGTGATATCACTACAAAAGAAGAGCTATTAACAGTACTGCACATGAAAGAACAGACACGAGGAGAGGACATATTTAATTCATTTAAAAACTTTATGGAGAAAACTCAGCTCCCAGTGTACAAACTGGTGTCTATCACCACGGATGGAGCTCCCGCAATGGTTGGCCGCTTGAATGGATTTATTGCCAAGTGCAGGCAGGACGATGATTTCCCGGACTTCCTAAATTACCATTGCATAATCCACCAACAAGCGTTATGCGCGAAAATGCTCAACATGAAGGAGATCATGGATGTTGCAACAAAGATCGCCTGTTCTATTCGCGCCAGATCTCTTCAAAGACGGTTATTTCGTGCACATCTGGAGAAGGCTGACTGCGACCACTCTGAGTTGTTGCTGCACACTGACGTGAGATGGCTTAGTCGAGGCAAATTCCTGCAACGATTTCGAGAGCTCTGTCCAGAGATAAGGGAATTTTTCCGTGTAGCTGGACATGCAGAATACACGCAACTAAATGACGGTCAGTGGCTGTTAGACTTGGCATTTTTAACCGATCTGACCAACATGTTTAATGAGCTTAATCTAGAGCTGCAAGGAAAAGACAAAACAGTGATCAATATGATCAGCTCAGTTAGTGCTTTTAAACGAAAAATGCAACATTTTTCCTCAAAGCTGCAGCGCCATGATTTGGCAAACTTCCAGAACCTGGCGTCAGAGCTGGAGATGCAAGGGAAGGCCTGTGTGCAACTTGACAGTGCGCGCTACACAGAGCAGATTGACAATTGTCAGTCAGAGTTTGACAAACGCTTTCAAGACTTTTCTTTGATCGAGCCAGTTGCTACATTCATGTGCTATCCTTTTCGGGAAGATGCTGAGGTTGAATCACTCGCATCCAAAATTTCAACACTATTTCACCTGAACTTTTCTGGAGTGGAAGAGGAGGTTTTGACACTGCAAGCCGACATTGAGCTGAAGTCCAGAGCTCATGGACAGTTCTGGAACTTACTCACAGAGGTGAAGTACCCCAACATCAGGAAATGTGCTACCTCCTTGACTGCATTATTCGGCTCCACTTATTTATGTGAGTCAGCCTTTTCCCACATGAAGATCATTAAGTCCAAGTACCGTTCCACCATGACTGATGAACATTTGGAAGTGTGCTTGAGGCTGGCTGTCAGCAGCTACTGTCCGGACTATGCATCCCTGGCTGATTCAATTCAGTGCAAGTCATCAGAATAAACTCGGATAATGACAAAAAATGTACATAGTTATTTGTATTGGGTTGTTCTATATTGGCTCATGCGGTTTTGCATGTACATCAACATAAATTGTTGATATAATATCCTCAATACATTTGGAAATAAATTTACGTTTTGCATTTTTGTAGTAGGTAGATCATTTTGACTTGATCAATTTATAAGTAGCTCACATGCTGAAAAAGTGTGAGCACCCCTGGATTAAATGATCAATTTAAAGTGTGCATTTTGTTAGCTGAATTTAGAATAATGATTAAGCAAAAAACTTTAAGTGATTATTTAAAAGATGTATAAAATGGGGTTTTCAGTTTGTAAGTAACAAAAATTTTTATTCAAAATTTTATCTGATAATGTATTTAATTTAGCTGAGATGATGATTTGGATGAGCTGATTCAGCAGCAGTTACGTGGTGTAAAGAAAGGGCATAAATAAGCATTGCTTCAGCCTATTCCTTTTTTGGTTGAATATTTTGTTGTTGTTGTTAACATTATTGTTTGTAAATTGCATTGATTTAAATGCACCAATCAACCAAAATAAACCATTCCTTCATTCAACCCTCACAGCTTTGGGGATGTGTGATGTGGTCAAACAGATTTACACACAAAGTCAGGCACAACCGAGAGACAGTTATGGACTGACTGAGCTTATGATTGTGTAGAAGTCAGTTATTAACCACTTGATATTTTGAACTATCTGAAATAGTAGAGTGTAGTAAAGTTAAATTCAGCAGATTTTAAATTCATCAAAGTAACTTAAACCAGGAATCTGCCATTTTATTTTTTAATTCGATGATAATGCCGCATCTAACCTACAGTGTCACCAGCTGGCCAGAGGGATGCAAGACAACCCTGAAGCCCATCCAGTCTGTCTGCAAACAGGCGTTAAAAGTCCTGGATAGGAACACTTCCCGGCACCACCACTGCAGCATCTTGGCCAAATATAAGAAGCTCAGCTGGGAAAATTTTGTAAGATTTCAAGATGGTCTTCTGGTTTTTAAAATCTGAAATGGCCTGGCCCCACCCCCACTATCTATTTTTTCAAGCAGAGCAGCAGAAACACCAGGGGCCGTATTCCTAAAGATTCTTACTGCTAAAAGTTGCTCCTAGTGGCCAAATTCTAAGAATTTTCTTAGAATCTTGACCAACTCTTAGAATTTCCCCTAAAAGTGAGGAGTAGCTCCTAATTAAGATAAAAGCTATTCCTAAAAAATCCTAGCTCTTAAGAGTGCTCTTAAGGGGAGATCCCTTAAGAGTTGAGAGGAGGACTTTTAGCGACTTAAAAGTTCCCTAAGAGCACAAAATGGTGGACGGTGGAGACAGGAGAAATATTCTATACACTGGATGACAGTGAATCAGTGAAACGCTACAGATTCAAGCAGGAATCATGTTTGTGGTATATTTAAAAGTCAATCATGTGACCAGCTTCTCATTGGCTGGTCAGCAATAACACCTCATCCATTTTACCTTTGTTACACAAAAGTAAGTAGAAATGGTAAAAGTTGAAAGAGAGGAAAAAGTGGTCCTAAATTGTCACACATTCAGTACGAATGAATGAATACTTTATTTTGAGCCATGGCAAACAAGAAAAAAAAGGACAAAACAAACAAAACAACAACAGAATAGAAGTACAAATATACAGTTTTGTTTTATTAACAACAATCCAGCTCAAAAAGGAGTGGGAGAGGATAAGACTTTTAAGCTCCCTTGTACTTGATTTGTACAGTGTATGTATAATATGTTTATATTAATATTGTTTCCTTAATTCCTTATAAGTCTATACATATCACAGCCTTTACTAATCCTAACGTTATCATTATCATCATTTATCCATATAATATTTATAATAATATTTAAATTATATATATATATATATATATATATATATAAAATTATAAGTGCTCATGATATATACGTATTATGTGTGATAAATTGGTGCTGAGCAAGCTCTGATGATGGTGTATAAGTCTAACTTTACTATTCACAGTATTTATGTACCATTGATATATCTGACTTTATAGCTTTTGGTTATTATTTACAATAACACAGTGTTCCTAAGATTAGATTCCATGATTGAGTTTGTCCATTTTAGGGCCCTTATTTTGCCTATTATCATCAAAAATATGTTTGTTCTAACTTTTAGGATCAACCAATCACAGCGTCTGAAATGATGACTCATACCTAGCAACGGGGGTCGGCCACGCCTCCTCACTAAGATAAAAGTTGTTGTCAATTCCTTGCTCAGAGTTCTCTAAGAGTGTTCTGGAATAACTTTTAAGCTAAGACTCCTAGCTAGGAGTTTTTAGGTTAAGATAAGAGCTCTCTGAGAGGACTCTCAGAATCTTTAGGAATACGGCCCCAGATCTGCTGCCTTTAATAATCTTGTCGTCCCTCTGAGAAAAAGTTCCTTTCGCCAATCATCTTTCTCAGTGCGCGCCGTTTAGTTCTGGAACATGATACCAGTCCATATAAGAACGAGCACCACACTCAAGAGTTTTTAAACATACGTTAAAAGCCTAGTTATTGGAAAATCAAGATTGTAACCACTTATGATGTGTTACTTGCTTTTATATGTTTTGATGACGTGTTTTAGATTGTATCGTTTTAACTAGTTACTTTTATATTGTAATGTTTGCGGTGCACTTCGATGGCATTATACACCTTGCTTAGGGACTACAGTTGGAAACTAGCTGTTTGCTAATACTGACACATTTACAGCAATGTTTGTGTATCGTCCCTATTCAAATAATATAATAAAAACTACTGGGGAGATGCAATATTTTGCCTTGGTATCAAACCCTGTGAACGCTGTGAAACTCTGGACATATTGCTTACACTGTGAACCGACAATAAAACATTCTCTATCTTTTTTCATTTTCTTCAGAGTGATGTTTTTCTTTTTTTCCCGAAAGTCGAGAGCTTGCATAGTATTTGTCCTTTCAAATCTATGTTAGAGAAAAGAATCAGGTCGTGCTATAGAAAGGCAAAGATTCAAGCATGTCTTTACTATTCCTGCAGCTTCTCATACTGCATTACCTCCTTCTGGACTGCAGTGCTGCCTTCTTGGCCAGTACAGAGGGGGGGTATCGGTCAAAGAGATCCTGCGCCCGGGCGATCAGCAGCTCGTACGGGAGGTCCGGAGGGATGCGGGACAGGAGGTGGTGAACCATAGCCATGTCACACTCGGTGGTCTTCACTTCCTTCTCTCGGTGCAAAACGATCTGAGCGAAAAGATGAAACGTGGAGAGATGTAACCCTGGAGTTCCACGCATAAATTTGCATGATCTTAATGTTTAAATCAACACTAGCTTCAGTTTCCTTCACATGCAGTGGAGGAACGACTGGAAATGTGAGGGAATGTTGTCAAAATACTAACATTCAAGAAGGCCTTGTACCGATATACAAGTACAAAATAATGTCTTTCTCATTACACATATAGACAAACACATTTCTTTGTTTTAGTGGTATTATCTTTTAAGTGTGCATATATATATCTTTTGAATGCGCTGGAAAAAGGCAGCAAGTACAAAGTAGCTCCAAAACAGTTTTGTGCTTTTGAATTTTAAATTTTTTTCTACCTGAGATGCCGCTGCAGTACAGTGTCTATGGTTTTACACTGGTCCAGAGCAGAGCAGAGAGGATTCATGGTCCGAACCAAGTGGATCAGGCGAAAATCCACTGGAGGAATGCTAACTTTTAAAAAAAATGCGAATGAAGCATTTAGCATTTTACTTTAGACTAGAGCAGAGAGAATGGTCCGAACCAAGCGGCTACTCCACCTCTGCTGCTGTGACCCGTCCTGCTCCACCCAGAGGTTACTCCACCTCTTCAGTGCTGTTGCTGATTATTACTATTTTTAACTTTTTACAATGATACATTTTATTTTATATTTTTGCTGTTACTGGAAAACTGAATCTCTCCTTTGGGATCAATAAAGTATCTATCTTTCTATCCATCTATATTGCTTGTTCCATTCTCAGGTTTTAAATAACAGAATAACCTTAATCTGAACTAGTTTCGTATAACCCATTTGCCAGTACTGTGCTGTTTGTAATGAAACGTGTTGAATTGATGATGAGAACCTCCACCCAGGGCGATGCCGCTGTGCCAAAAGTGTTTGTCTTCAGCTTATGGTTTTGGAGAGGTTAGCACCAGACCAAAGAACATATTAAACAAGTGTGAAAATGGATCAATGTCTGCCTGTGAGAAGATGAAACGCTGGATTTTTTACACATAAATTAGATTCCTGGATACGAGTGTGTTTGTGGGCTTCCGCTGAGGCAGAAGTGGGGCTTAGCGGTGTATTAGGCAGATAAAGAGTTAACCCCCCATGCTGAGCGCTGTACTCTGTAGCCTGGGAGGAAACATGATCTACATTTGGCTTTGTTGTTTTTTCTCACACTTCAAACACAAGTCTCCCTCTGCCCAGCCCCAACTCACAGACGCACACACACACACACACACACACACACGCACATGCACATGCAAATAGACACTAAAGAGCTGACATACACAGCAGCAGCAACAGCAGCAACAGCAGCAACAGCAGCCAGGCAATATGTGCACAATCAAGCTCTATAAAGATCAGACAAAGCCCTCCGAAAAGATCTGCTCACACAAAAACACATACAATAGGGCTTCCAGACTGAATGGGAAATTGAATGGCCACGATTAGCACGCCGCTAATACTGCAATTATTTCGTTCTTTGCGAAGAAACTGTCCTGACTCGGTGTACGACAAGCTAGAGCTGTAGTTTACGCTTCACAACACATTCTTTGTTTACCTGTTGTCTATGGCAATTTGTTTTTTGTGTTGCCTGAAAGTGTCAACGTTACGATTTGTTTCTGTCTATCTTGTATGTTAATGCATATACATGTATTTATTAGCATGTTAAATATGTTGGCCAGGGGACGACAGATGAAACTCCTGTTAAAATCATGTGTTGCATTTGTCTGTCTATGTCTGTCTTGTTTGTCTATTTCACTGTCCCCTATTCAAATGAACTAGTCTAATTCAATAGTATTTCATCGCCCATTTATCAATCATCCTAAATGTATAGACTCTGACATTGCAAACATTAGAACAAATGTAAAATGCACCTCACCACAAACTAATCCTAATAAAAAATGATAGTGAATGATGTTGTCTGGATGTGTGGAATCAGGCCTCCACAAAATGCACTTGGGACAAACGCAAGACATAATATTCAAGTGATCCGGTCTTTAAAGACCTTATGCCGGGTTTGATTTATTTAAAAATACAGTTTTATTACCATTTTATAATAGAAGAGAACTACTAAAGGTTTCAAAATCAGTTGTTTTTTTTTGTCTGATCCCCCCAAATCGAAATAACCCCATAGCAACGCCCTTAGAGACGAAAAAACTTCACAGCCCTTGGTGACGTCAGAGTGGGTACATTTCAACGCTGTAAGTTGTTTACAATTTGGTATTCGTTCTTTTTTCGCGGATATTCAAGATGACAAGGCCGTGTACAGCAAGTTTGACATTACTAATAGATTGTGACACTTCGTTGGACACTGGGGTTCAAATCCCAGCTCTGACACATTTTCACTCTCAAAACGGCAATTTATGTGTAGTGAGCAATTGTCACCTGTAGAGTGCAGTATTGTGTTGGGCATCAGTGGAGAGAAGAGAGAAAAGGCAGTCCTGTGACATAGATCCATGGTTTTCAATGCATGGGCGTAACCCGCTATGACGTCACACACAGGTTAGAGCATAGACAACTTAAATTCATGAAAAACACGTTTTTTTATAAAATATAGGATTTTTTTTGCCGGAATCTATTTCAGATCAAAATTGTCATGCAATTTTGAGATCCACAATTTTTTTTTTTTTAAACCCGGCATAAGGTCTTTAAGGTCACGGCGACTTCACTCAGGTCTATGTTGTTTGGACGAGCAAACTCCTGTGGGCGGGCGGCTTCGTTGTGTTGCATTTTTTTGATATAAAATGGAAACTGAAACAAAATCGTCCAGGGCGTTTGTGTGCAAGTTCCCCGCCTGAATCTTTGTCATTTCCCGACTGATTTTTTAATGCGTGGTCAAAACAGAAAAACACATCTTGCCTCTAGACTAATAACTAGGACTAATAACTAGATTTTGTTTTCTCGACCTCATGTGTCTTCACTTTATAAATTTCAGCTCAGTCATTCCATTTGTAACATGTTTTTTGGTGAGTAATTGAAAACATTGATTCATCTGAAATTGTTATCACTGTTGTGTACTATTTGTTTTCGGGGAGTTGTATGTGTCCAGACAACCGCAGTGCCACAAACACAACCCCCTCGGTGATATGAAATAAATAAAATCCGGCATGTTTTTCTTCAGTTGCAAATCCCTTTCAACGCTCTGCTTGGTACTTTTCTCCTACAGCCATGGCCTTTTTATCCCTTCCTCTTCCCTGCACCTTCTCCTTTCATTTTCTTCATTAGGACTGGCTAATTAACTGGTTCAGAGACTTCTTGGTGCTCAGCGTGAAGTGTCCTGGATTACTGACACAACAAGCTCCTCTCCTGTCTCTGCCTCTTGCTCAGTAATTCCCTTTCCTTTGGCGTCCTCACCGCAGCGGCGAGGTAGATGGGCATCAGAGGATGAGAGGCCAAGAAGAAGTCGTAGAGTCTCAGGGTGTGTTTGAACTCAGACAGGACGTGACCGTACCATGTGATCAGCCAGGACAGGGCGAAGATAGTGCCCACCTCCGCTCTGCGAGGAGAGAAAATCATACAAGCGACAGTCAAATCAAACAGGTTGGAACAAAGAAAACCAGGTTGTAATGTGTTGAGAGATTTTTGTCATTTGCCACATGCACAATACCATTATGGGCTGGGGTTAGGGTAGGGGTGGGCGATATGGACAAAAATAAATATCTCGATATATTTTTTTCCAGCTCCCGATAACGATATTATCACGATATCTTTAAAATCAAACATTTTTACAGACAATGATTTGTAATGTTTTGCTGCAGGGCATCTATAGATAGAGACAGTGTAGATTTAAAGCTTTTTATTTGTAAAGTGCTTCACACATCTTTGCAAAACATGCACTAACATACATTAGCATAAAAAAATCTAATTCAAGTAACACAGAAAGAACACATCCAAAAAGGCTCAGTATTTACTCAAATGTACAAATAAAGCAGTGATTGGCTTTTTAGGCACACATTAGACCAATGGGCATCTGTCCTTCTCTAATTGTAATATGTATGTAAAAAGAAAAAGGACGATAATACGAAAAAGCATATCTCCAAATTGACTTTCACGATATTATTGTCTACGATATATTTTGCCCACCCCTAGGTTAGGGTCACATATAAGAGCCTAAGCCATGAACCTTAGTCACATCGATAAAAGAAAACCAAAGCTTAAACATGTCTGTACCTTCTTTGTTGATTTTGAAAAGTCAAAAGCGAAAAGAGCTCTCATATTCCTAGTATCCCGTTAATTTAATATTGTGTAAATATTTTTTTGTTCACAGCACGATTTATAAATAAGGCCCCAGGGCACTTTCTATGCGAGTTTCTCCATTCTTATTTAAACAATGTTCTTTTGGTAGTCCTCCCTCTCTCCTTCTATTCTTGAAAAACTATGTAGCTTAAAAGGTTAAAACGTGGACCTATGGCAAAGGTCTCAATTTAGTGTTATTAAAAAAACATTTACAGGGATGATAATAATTTAAAAACAACATTATTGGTGGCTATCAAACATTATAATGTGCCTATTTAGTTAAAGACAAAAATAAAGTCTTAAGCAGAATGGATAAACATGTAGCAAGGATTTTCTAAAATAAGATTTCTGCATGTAAGTGGCCACTTCTACCACCAGAGGGTTGAATTATTATTATTTTTTTTTTTTCTTTCTCAAACAAAGCCACAAACTAACATCTTTTCCAGACGAGATGCATTTTGGGAAAAAAAGACTGGATGGAGCTAAAAACAACTCCAGGTCTGGTGTTGATGAGGAAACAATGCTGTAACAAAAAAAAAATTTGCCTGATTGTATCAAAGTGAGGCCATTGTTAATTATAATTATATCAATCACTATCAAATAATATTGAAACCGGGAAGAACTGAGATTTCTTTTTCACGGCAGAGGAAATTAAAAAGCACTAATAAACAAATAAAAGATCATGTTATTATTTTTTATCTCCATTGTTCATCAATTAATTTCTAATCCATTTGAGGCCATTTTATCTCTAACTAAAATGAAATTCAAAGCCCTTTTTTCCTCTGTCAGAAATGGTACAAAACGACATCTGTGTCTGCAGAGTGCTCTCCTGTCTTCTCTGAGCACATTCCTGTTTAAATGCAACTAAAGACTTTGGGCGGTTGTTAATATAAATATTGGATAGAGACTTTGAGAGAGGAAGAGGGACGGCTACAAGAGCAGTTACAAGTGGAAAGTTGTCAGATGACTTCTGTTAAGCTGTGGTTTTTACTCCAGTGTAATATCTGTTTTAGCAGCTTTTGAGCGTCTATATTTAGTTCTGTAGTGTCGCCAAGAAACTGAGGTGACAAAACGGGTCATCACTCTCTTTTTCACAGTTTTACAGCTAATACTAACAACCTTCAGATTCAGTAGGTCCGATTTTGTCATGTTCAGTTTGTTCATTTGATTTTGGCCTTATTTATTTGTATTTTTGACACACTTTTTGGCTAGTAACAAAACCTCAAACAGTTTCCTGCTACTCCATCGGCCCCTCACAGCTTCCCAAAACAATGTATGGATGAAGTATTGCATGGTTACTTTGCTTGTTCATTCTTGTGTGTTTTGATACCCCACTCAAACTTACAGCAGATTTTAAATCGTTTTGCTCTTTTATAGCAAGACAAAGGGGTATTCATATTTTGTAGGTTGTCCTGTTTAATATAGGTTAACTACTTAGAAAAACACAGTAAAAAATGAAGCAAGGAGTGAAAATGGGTGAGACTTAAAAGCTTAAATTTCCATAAAGTCAATGAAACGATGAATGAGATCAGTATGGGAAAGAATAAGGTTACAACTTTGACGCTGTGGCTCCCCCTAGTGGCCATTACCTACTTCTACAGCTCCACAAAGTTTGAATTTGGGCTGTTACTGACCTCATCATGAAATCATGAAGCTCGGTGTCCACCTGTTCCAAAATAGGCATCAAGTAGTTTAAGATATGCTTGGTGCGGTCCATGGTGGGATCCATGAAGTCCCTAAAGCAAGAATTCAAGAGTGAAAAAACATACAAAATGCAAAACCAAATATTTTTTTCTTGTACCGAAGATGAAAATTGGAGAGTTTGTTGAGCATAGCGAGGGCCATGCGCTCTCCGACCAGCAGGAGTAGAGTCACAGCTACGTCATGGTAACCTTGGTAATAGTGAAGCTGGGTATGACGCTTTAACACGTCTAGTATAATGTCAATGAGCTGCTCTTGTAGAACTGCTCTCTCCACAGACGGCATGCCTAATTTAGACGCAGAAACATCACTTTGATTAGATTTAACCTGGCGCATATCTGTAAGAAATCAGGTGTTGTAACTTACCCTTAGGAAAACGCTTCATGGAGCGCCTGACGTCTAGCAGCACTTGGTTCAGGTCTTTGTGATTCTCCCTCACGTCTTTGCCTATAAGAGAATTTGTTGGTGTGTATTTTAAAAGAATTAAGCAGTAAATCAAATCAATCATGATGTTTATTTCAAAACCCATACATTATTTACAGAACAAAATACCAGAATAACAGTTTTGAGCAAACACCCTTTTACCCATTCAACACAGACAAAATGGATGGCATTGGGTGAAAATACAAAAAAACAGCAACAAAAAATATAATAATAATAATAATAATAATACACTTTATCTAAAAGCACCTTTCAAAACACCCAAGGACACTGTACAGGCAAAATGAAAACATTAAAAAGAGGAGCAACATAATAAAACAGTAGTGCATTATGGGATGGTGGGTGCGTGTGGGTTAGGTGAGGTAGGACAGTCTGAACAGATGGGTTTTGAGTCTGGATTTGAAGAGTGGACGAGAGTCAATGGTACTGAGGTCAGGGGGGAGAGAGTTCCAGAGCTGGGGGGCAGAGTGGCTGAAGGCTCTGTGTCCCACGATGATGAGTCTGGCTGGGGGGACGGAGAGTGTGAGGGTGGAGGAGGAGCGGAGTGTGCGGGCAGGAGTGTGAGGGTGGAGGAGGTCCAGGTTGTGAAGTGCTTTGAAAGTGGTGAGGAGTATTTTGAATAGGGCTGAAACAACTAATCGATTAATCAACGACTAATCGATTATTGAAATAGTCGACAACTATTTTAGTAATCGATTAATCGTTTTCTGGGTCACACGGACTCAAACAGAGCAAAAATGACATGAAAATGTAGTATTTTTGACCGACTTTGTTTTTATAATTTCATGAATATCTGTCTGTCTCATCCAATCAGAGCAGAATTAGCACAAAGAGCCTGTTACAAACATTTACTTTAAGTTTACGCCATCAATACGTCCTCGAGTGTTGCCACTTTAGCTTTTTGTGATGAAAAAATATTTTTTTTCTACACAATTCACAGCCAAGCGATTACTCGATTAATCGTAAAAATAATCGATAGATTAATCGATCACAAAATAATCGTTATTTGCAGCTCTAATTTTGAAGTTGATGCGTTAATATATGTAGCTTATCCAAAATATGCCTCATAATGTTGCCCAGTCTCTCAATATATAACTAATAATGGTTGGATTATTTGTACTTTGTCAAAGGTATTGAGAACTAAATCTAGTACTGAAACTAGATACTAATTTGAGTAGCACCCAAAAACAAGTTGTTAAGCAAAGACTGTTCTTACCAGGTTTATGCGGCAAATCAAACCCATTTATGTTCAATAGTTTAGGCCAGACTTTTCTCCTCAGTTCATCGGTAAGAAGCCCTCCTTTACTGACCGCTGCCCTCCTCAAGGTCTCAATATCCACAGGATCACTGTAAGGCAACGTCAACAGAAATAGTCAACATGAGGCTATCAGAAAAACACATATTTATACGAGGCTAGTGACACTAAAATAGCAATCCAAATACATAGTTCAAGCAAAAATGTCTCTGGATTTTCTCATTTAATCTCAGATGCCTCCAGTGTCTTGATGCTCTTAATATTATTCCATTGGGCCCATGTGACTAATCTTCATGTGTGAAATTAGCTTAGTACGGTGCGGCGAGGGTGACTCTCCGTGGACTGACCATAATTGTGAAAAGACACACTGGATTAACCAAGTGAGAGACCGTCCCAGTTGGACAAGAATGTACTCAAAGCTCATAAGTTAAGTGGGGCATGTGGACACTGGAAATATCTGAGAGGAAAATTGCTAAAGATAAAAGGTTTTCGATTCGTGCCTTAAAACAACAAGGCAAATGATATGGGTTATAATAAAGGCAATACTCACCTATTTAAGGCTTTGTGGATTTCAGCCAGCTTTTGTCTTTTCCCAATATCTGTGTCTACAATGACAAATATAAAGCAATTGTTTGATATAATACAGGTAAATTATATCTAATATGTGGGTGCTAGTGTGAATGCTATGAAAAGGGCCATGTATAGCAACATAACTAACATGTAAAAGCTGATACCAAATGCATAGGACTGTACACTCCAAAAAGGCGGCCATAATCACAGCATGCCACGCAAGCAGCATGTGCAGATAACAATGTAAATAAAGGGTCACTGAAATAGTCATTGAGAGACAAGATGCAAAGTGTGTGCAAAAGTACTAATACTAATACAGAAGTTAGATTTCCTGGTTGCAAAGAAAGACTGTTGTAGTGTGTAATGTACTCGCTAAACACGTACATTACACAGACCCACTCACACAGTTAGATGTGGGTTAACTTGCCTGTAAATACACAGCATGTACAGACATCTATAAATAGAGAATGCAAATGATCAGTAGGTGACTTGGCTTTAGCTTACCTCTTTTGAGAAATCCATTCCCATGCACTTCGTCAAGCTGTTTCCTGCGTTTGGTTTGTTTCATTATTTCTGAGAATTAAACACCAATTACTTACATCTATACCATACCAGGATCCTAATAGAGTAATGAGAATAACTTTATAATTCCCTAAAACAGCCTGTCTGAGTGAAGACCACAGAACACATTCGGTTCAGTAACAGCTGTATCCGGAGAGTAAACCAGACTTGATATTATTTGCGGTTGTCTGATTGGTCAAGCTAGACACGTGACACAGTTTCAAAATCTGATTGGTTGCATTACTGTACCGTGCAACCGAACACAAATGTAGTTTCTGATATGTCGAGTTTAGTATTTTGAATGAATTGCGACCAAATATTATTTTAAATTAGCTAAATTGTCATTATATTCACATTATAGTAAATATATAAATAAAACTCAGATTTGTTTAATTTCTAATTCATGTATTACCTGTCTGTCACGACGTTGGCTGTGTTTATATTTTACAGTATTTTACAATCCAACAAAATGCAGTTTAGAGCAGCAACAGCGCAAATAAAATACTTACATCACAGATTTATATATATTCTTAATGATACAACACGAAGACAGGCTTGTATTGGTGGCGAAATCTTAATCATAACAAGACATTTAATATAATAAATTAATTAGCTGCTGGGAAAACCTGGCAACCCAAGTGCACGCACCTTGAGCAGTGATAAACCAAGGCAAAAAAAAAACAAAAAAAAAAAACGCCCACATGGTTATCGCCACATCTGCGGGACTTCAGTCAGTGTTCTCCGGGCTAACTGCGGAGACAAGCGGGACCTTCCAGCTGCGATGCCCGGGAGGTGAGACACGCGCGGCCCCGACATGAACGACACTGGCGACGCTACAACCACCGGGCCCCGCAAGAGGAGGACGACCGTAGCTGGCAATGGGAAACAGGCGAACGGGGGTAAGTGGCGTGAAGCCGGGGACAAGCCTCTGCAGAGAGCTGCTAAAGGGAAGGCGATGGACCAGGGGCCGAAGCGGAGTGGTCCTAGAGGGAAGCTGGACAGAGATGTGGAGACAAGAGGTGGACCGTTCCCAGAGAGCCCCAAGAAGGAGACCAGTGCAGTGGAGGACATCAGTGAGAGGCTCAGGTAACACTCTCTCATAAACCCAATCCTAAATAACACTGTATGACATTTCCTGTTTGTTTTAAAAAATGTGTTTTTAATGTTTTTATGCCCTGGGCTGCTCAAACAAATTGCCTCTGCTGGGATAAATAAAGTAGTTTGAATCTGAATCAGTGTTTACCTGCCAGAGATGCAGGAAGAGGGAGACAGATGCACTGAACAAGCCATCATTTAACATTTAAAGGAGGGTAGAATTGAATACTAATTGTATGGAAAACGTAATTTGTACATTTAATTTGCATGATGTGTTTGTAGGATAAATTTGAGCATCAGTAAATCTAATTAAAACGGGTCAATGCAGTCGATACATAAATGGATATGAATTAATAATGGCTAATGGGGAATAATGGAAAGAATGGTTTCCCAGTTGGTATTTCTCTGAGCCTTGAAGAATGTTCAACTACTAGTTTTGAAAGATATTTGGACAAATGGGTTACATTTATTTGGAGGGTCCTGCTTGTATTTATAGGTTATAGTTTGAATGGGGTCGCTGTGAAGAGTTATGCAGTACTAAAATCATTTGGATATTTGAGCTTTAATCTACACGTTGTATTACAAATATGTATTCTTCTTTGGTGAAGTATGAACAAGCCAAGTCTGATAACTTCAATTTACATTTGGTGCAGTTGGATCAGATTGTTAAAATAATTTCTCTTACTACTTTCACATTGAACTATGTCATTATCAGCATGTAGGTTCGTATCTCCTCTCACGATACAGTTTTGTCTCTGATTACAGCACCTTTTACCCATTTTACACAACAACTTGCCCTTGGCCTTAGCTGTGGAAAAACTATGACTTCAATCATCAAAATGTACTTACACTCAAATTGTGTTGTGGTGAAGTATGTTGAGCTACTGCAGAAGCATAACATATGAATTGCAAGTGGAGGTTTGTGTGGTTTTGAGACGGATAAATGTATAGTTCTATGACACACATCCATGTTTTGTTGCAGTTGCCACAGTCTCCAGGAGTCTCTGCTGAGCTCTGCCAGCGGCTACAGTAACTACAGAGGAATCCTGAACTGGTGTGTCGTCATGTTGGTGAGTAATGTGTAAAACCAGTATCGTGATCAATGCACTTCATACAGCCTGCCCTCTCCGTCGCTCTGTGATTCATATCAACCCAACAATACTGAGAGCGCAGTGCATTTCAATGTCCACTCTCTTCAGTTAAAAAAATGGTGTCTTTTGAAAATGCAAAACATGACATGACATGCTAATATGAGATTTTGAAATAAAACATTGCATAACTAGAAATGCAGAGAAAAACTGTGTCTGTAGTGAGTCACAGATGTGTCACAGTTTGTCGTCTCTGTTGGGGTGGTTTAAGGACAAGTTTGCCTTTCCACAAAACGGCTCCTATTTTGATTTGTCGCTCAATGAAACTGAGGCTGTACTTTTTGTTCCAATAATAAACAACTATTTTAGTAATTTATTTATCACTAACTGCTTTGTATAAATCAGTCATGTCCAAACTCAGGCCCGTGGGCAAATTATGACCCTGTGTGATATTTTCTATGGCCCTCTGTCTTTCTAACCCAAAGTAGTCTTTGAGATCTAAAACACAAATTCAGTGTCATTCAGCCAACTTCAGCTCAGCCAATACAGACCTGCTGTACCTTTTGTGGTGAAGCTCAGAACCTCTGGAATCCAGCTGTTGACTTTTTTGTTTACTGACATTTGTTTTTGATTGTGTCACAAAAGTCTGTTGATGGCGCTAATGTAGCTGGTGAGGTGTGTCATTTGTCATTCAGCCAACTTCAGCTCTGTCATAGTTGTTTCAGAACAGCCCAAATCCCAAAAAAACTACCCATTTTTACTATCCGGGTGGTCGCCCCCTGGACCAGCCTGGTAAACTAAAGTGGCCTGAGAAGTTCAGCACATATATGTGCAGTATGTTGAGCTGTGATTTTAAGATTCAAGCAACAGTGAACTACATACAAAATAAGGGATTGTGTAAATGCCTATTTTTATGAAAATAGTCTGAAAAGGGATGTCCTGTTGTTTTTGTTCTGGTTCATCTGGGTCAAACTGAGATAAACATTTGTATTTGTATTCTTCCTAACAAAGTGAATCGATTTAATCAAAGCCGTTTATGAATGTAGTTAAATAAATCTTGCTACGAGACAAAAATAGTCTTTGGCCCAAATAAGTGACACATTTATTCTTTGTAAAGTTAAATCTGCAGCCGCTGCTCGCACTTCCACCACACGGGAAATGAGACTAATTCAGACTGTTCAAAAGAGGCTGGATTAGTTCGTAAGAGGATTAACACTAAATATGTACTTTTTATTCAACTGTTAGTTTTGGTCATGTAACTTACTGCTTGGTTTCTTTTCATCTGTAACTGCCTTGTAGATCATAGTGTCTTTACATTTGGATATGTTCCTATGGTTGTAAGGCATAAAATTGAATTAAAGTGTGTTTCATATGAAACGGATATTTAAAACAGAACTATTATCAGACCACTTTGTTTTTATCTAAATACAGTTGTTCACATTTATGGTTGTTTCTAGTTTTATCAAATAGATTGACAGAGCAGAGAACTTCTCCGTTTTTAATTTAGTACTTTAATTGCTTGTGTGTGAGTTTGAAAATCAAGTAGCCCGGCTTTCAGGAATATGATCATGTTTGCGTCAAAGGGAACTAACCGGTTTGGGCGGGTTTTCTTCTAGATGTAGATTATGACGTCTTGAACTTGTTTTGAAAGTTTCTGGTCAAAAGAATCGACCTTATCTCTCCTTACCCTGACCCAGGTCATATCCAGTAATGAATCTACTTTTCTCTGATATAAACCTGTCCCGTGATGGCTCTATATATTTCCATAATGTAATGTTTTCTTGTGAAAGAGCAGGGTGGTATCCTGATTAATAAATGTGTGTGTGATTATCATTGGTTTCTCATCTTAGCGTTGTGTATTTATCTAGAGTTTGTGCAGCTCAAAGTCTGAGTCCATCAAGTCATAAACACGGCAGTAAATTCCATTCGAGTCACTAGAGAAGTTAGACTTTCTCTTTTTCATTATTAATGATCCAGTTATTCTTAAAAAACTACATTTGACTACATTGCAAAAGCCTGATCCTGTCAGACCTCTGAAGCTGTGCAGGGTAGGGCCTGGTTAATATCGTGATGGGAGACCTTTGGGAACATCAAGTGCCACAGTGGCGCGGCAGTGGCTGTAAAGTGCCCAGAAGAAGTCTGGTGTGTGTGTGAATGGTTGGTGGTGGTGGGAGGGGCCGATAGTAAATACTGGTTGCCTCTCTTCTGTCAGTGTGCCCCAGGGCAGCTGTGGCTACAATAGTAGTTTATCACCTCTATGTTTAGAGTGAATGAATAATGACATGTGTCCTGAAAAGTGCTATATAAAACCAATGCATTATTATTACCATTATAAATGTGTTTGTTTTTTTCTTAATGTTGTTTTATGTCTGTACTTGTGCACACTGAGGACTTTAGCTAATGAATTCCAATGTGGTTTTACTGCAAATGGCAAATAGAATGAATCTGATTTATTATTTTTAGATTTAGAAGAACATAACAGTTCAAACTAATGCCATCACTTCTGTTGTTTTAAGGTGCTGAGTAATGCGCGGCTCTTTTTGGAAAACATCATAAAGTGAGTAACACAAACATCCACGACGTCCGCCCACAATGTGATGCTAGGACGATGATGCAACATTTAGATTTCCCACTTGTTCTTTTACATTTCTTCATGAACATGTTAGTTTGCCGCTCAACGTTGTGTCTTGTGGTGCATCTTATTATTCCTAGGTACGGGATCCTGGTCGACCCCATTCAAGTGGTGTCTCTGTTCTTAAAGGACCCCTATAGCTGGCCGGCCGCGTGCCTCATTATTGGTATGAAGTAGAAATGATTTGGTCTATTGACATGTAGCGCGTAGTCACAAAACACAAAGTGCAGTCTTTGTCTAATGGTTATTCTGTCTCTACTCACTTTTTTTCACGATTTTGCATGTTCTTCTTTGCAGTGTCCAATGTGTTCATTTTGGCCGCCTTGTACATTGAGAGACGATTGGCTGTGGTGAGTGCATAAAAACCCCGACCTGAACTGAAATCAACAGAATTATTACGCAAATGCATGCTGTTCAGTATATTTTTGGGCCATTTGCTGCCTTTTTCTAATAGTTATTTTTGTACTTCCAGGGCACAATTTCCGAAACCACGGGCAGGATCCTCCACAGCTTCAACCTGGCGTCTCTGCTGGTCTTCCCCTCGTTGACTGTCCTCGGTCTCACCTCCATGACGCCAGGTACGAACCACTGTACTTCCCGCTTCGTTGTCGCGAATCGGACATTAACGCCGCTGTGCCTTTAGTGGGTGGAGTGCTGTCCCTCGGAACCTACACAATTCTTTTCCTGAAGCTGTTTTCTTATCAGGACACAAACAGGTGGAACAGAGATATCAGATTAGCCAAGGCCAAAAGGCTCACCCGGTCCCATTCATGTGAGTCATTTTATATCAACGCAAATACGGATGAGTACTAGATATGCTTTTATGATGATATTCTCCAGGTCCTTCTGTGGCCCAGTCCAACGGATCTGCTGTGCATAGTCTCGTGTCCTATCCTGGCAACCTCACGCACAGAGGTAATCCTGCCGCAAAACCGTTCTGTTGCGTTTTGATTTTCTAGATTTAATAATAATTTTAATGCGTTTCTTCCTTTTTTATAGATATGTATTACTTTGTCTTGGTCCCGACTCTTTGCTATCAGCTCAACTTCCCACGATCGGCGCGGATACGCAAGCGATTTCTCTTGAGGCGGATTTTTGAGATGGTAAAAATAAAACTAATTTGTGCATGAGCCGTGTAAAGTAGACACACTTGTTTTTAACCGAAGTCTTCTCTTTTGGTGTAGCTTTTTCTTATGCAGCTTCTGGTGGGATTGATACAGCAGGTAAGTGAGTGGTTTTGTTTTGCTCGTCATATCAACAAAGTCACAGTTCAAACATATGGGATGATAGAATGAATTGCAACCAAAAAAGGAAAAGGCAGAAGCAGTTTCTTCGAGCCGGTCCTATTCTACACCATCAGTATAACCAGGTTTTAAACTTCATAATGTGGTATACCATATTTAACAAACATACAAAAAAACAAAGCCACTTTTCATATTCTTTTAATATTTGAAACTTAAAGGTATAGAGAAGGATTTCCCCAAATTTTAGGAAAGACGTGCCCTCTCCACTTTGTTAACAAAACTCTGGTCTTGTTTGTCGAGCACGTATAAGATAAGATAAACCCGTATCACCAGAATGATTGACAACTGGGAGGACCAATAGTCTTGATGATCCACCTGGAAGTAGAAAATCCTCAATACCTCTTAATATACGTTTTAAATTATAACAGAAGTACATTTTTTCAAATCTTCTGTTCTGTAATTTCACTCCGAGAACAGAAACAGAAACGCACCTTGATTTCACTTTAGTTCTTGCTTTTAGCAGATTCAAAAATGAATACGCCTGAGATTTTAACCGTTTTCTGAGTTTGAAAAAGCACAAGAAACACTTTGGGATTTTGTTGTTCATTACCCCATAAAGAATCTCTAACATTAAAGGTACATAGGAGGATTTTCTGCTTCCGGGTCGATCATGAAGACTATTGGTCCTCCCAAGTGTCAATCATTCTGGTGACGCGTGCTCGTCAAAAAAGTGGAGAGGGCGGTTCTTTCCTAAAATTTGGGAAAATCCTCATATTTACACATATAAAGTAGACGCTGCAGCCATAAAGTAAGAGGCAGCGTTTATTATGGGCAAGAACTTTTCAACTAAAGCTGGGAATGTGTTTTTCAGTGGATGGTTCCCAGCGTGCAAAACTCCATGAAACCATTCAAGGTGAGATTTATTGTGAAAGAGTTTTGATCGGTTTCTCAAGCGATAAATGTATGATTTTGGTTCATTCATGTTTTTGAAGGAAATGGACTTCTCCCGAATGGTGGAACGACTGCTCAAGCTGGCGGTGAGTAATTCAGTTCAATGTGTTTTTGTTTAGCCCTCAATCACAACAGTCGTTTTCTCTGGACTTTACAAGATTGTTGATTCACCAACACAGATCAGAGAATCAAACGTTCAAACGCGCATCAGAACAGATTCATTTTATTTGACACTTGCTCTCTGGTCTCTCTCTGGTCTCTCTCTTGTCTCTCTCTCTCTGGTCTCTCTC